ACAGTATATTGATGATAGAGACCAGGTAGAGACCCTCACAGGCACTTCTGACTGTACACTAGGCTCATTTATCCTTTTGTTTCTCTCCAAGGTCAGTGACAACATACTTTGATCATCTCATAGCTCCCATCTCCTTCTACTTTGATTCTACTGCTTTTTATTACTCACTCTTCTGTTACTCCCATCTCAGACCACACGGTAAAACATTAGATGCCATTTTTTGACCTACCCTTTTTCTCCTTTTCTAACTCTTGTCTACTTCTTGCAGAAAAAAGAAAACAAATCACTCACTTTCTCATGTTTCCTCTCTCTTTGAACAAATAATCCCTGGACGCCTTCCATAGAAATAGTGCTAGTAACTGTCCTGTATTGAAGAAAGAAAAGGTGCCATGTTTAAACATGAAGAAAAGATGTCAAAGTAGTGAAATCAGTCTTTAAAACTTTTTAAAATATTAAGTTTATTTCTGAATCTCCATTTAAATAATTTTTTCTCTAGAATTTTACAAATGCCTCCTCCCAAATGTCTATCAAGGTAGAATGTTTAAAATACCAAACTTTATTTCTTATTAATTTACAAATATTACAAAAAATACTCTGTGCTTTTTTGTTTTTCTTTACAAATGTAACCTAATTGAACAGTAGTATTGACTGAACATTTCAGTCTGAGATGCCAGTGAACAACTTCCACAGAAATTTTTGAATGATGAGGATGTTTTATACAATGTATAATTCAAAATGAGTAGAATAAACTATCTATTATATGAATGGAGAGAGATGGGATAGTGACAGAAACTTTGGGAAAACTTTTTGCATAGAGCAGTTGGATTCTAAATAGCACTGAAATGTTTGGGAGAGATTGAAAGGTTACTTTAGGTTGGAAGAAAACTTACAGTAAAGATGTATTTGGTTGTTATGGGAATTCTTTGTGTGTGAGTTTTAAAATTTTTTACATATATTCATTATATCATCCTTCATTTTGCTACAATGTATAGTTTCCCTGTGAAATTCCCATCACCCGTTCACCTGTGAAATTCCAATCACCCATTCACCTGTGCACCATGACTATGGTCCCTTGTGCTCTTCCCACTCCTGTCCTGGTCTTTCTCTCTCCTCCTCCCTACAGAATGTCTCTGATCTATAGTTGCCTGGTGATTTTGATTTTAACTTTATTATAGTTATCTTTTTTTCCCTGATTCCTTTTTTGTTTTCTCTACACTCTCCCTCAAAGATATGGGAATTCTTATGAAGGAGGAAAGGCAATCTTGACAAATTAGAATAAGTTGATTTGTAGGTGTGCTTCAATATCATGTTATGAAATTTAGATTTTATTCCAAAATTAATAGAAAACTAAAAAAGTATTAAAGGACCATAATGAATTGAAAAGTCTAGTAAAGGAAAAGACTTGGATAGGAGGCCATGTATTGACTCATACTGTGAGATGTGTGGGACCTGGTTTAATGTAGTGGGGATGTCAAACAAGGGATCTCTTTTAAATACCTCAAACACAGTGCAGCATAGTCTTGGTGTAAAAAAGGAGGTGATGGTAGGCAGTGTATCAGAAATGATAGTGAGGCTTCAGTTTGGGTTACAGGAGAATGAAAAATAGACCAGATGGCAGAAATCGAGAAGTCAGAAGAGAAAATTTGGATAAATTGGAGGAAGGAAAGCAGTAAAAAGCACTTGGGGATCAGCTCTGTTAATGGAAATTTAATGTGAGTTCCAATGTATCATTTTAAATGGTGACATTCAGAAAGGTAAAGATAAACAGGTGAAATTATTGTTGGGAGTGACCAAAGATTTACTGACAAGGACTGAAAGAATTGAGCCTTGCATCCAGGCTTGATAAGGTGGTAATAAACTGACCTTGCATCCGGGATGGGACTAGCTGAAGGTGATAACAAACTGATAATCAATGGGCCAAGCATCCGGGAGATACAGGTGGGAGGAACTAGGCCTAGCATCAGGGGACACAGCAATGAGTCACCCCTTTGGAATGTGGACCTAGACTCTATATAAAAGACCCTTTCCCCCTTATTGGGTTGGCTGTAGCTGCAGACCCCCAGCCGAGGGGCTCTTTGTCAGCTGCTGTCCAGGAGCAATAAACTCTGCTTGCTCAGCCTTTCTGCCTCCCATCTTTCTTTCTTGAAGCCAGTCACAGAAGTTGGGACAAAACATTTGTATTCAATAATACTTGCTTTACCTTGATATCATAAAAAAACCATAATCAAAAAAAATCATAAATTATAAAAATATTATTTCAACATGTTATCAACAAAGTATTAATGAAATGGTTTGCTTTCTTTGTCTCATACTGAGTTTGTGTAATTTGATAACATTAGCATTTAGAAAACAACCTAATCTAGCTATATTGCGATGATCTGCAGTCACCTTTGGCTGGTAGTTACTATGAGACAGATTAATGAAATTATAAAGATGACATAGTAAATATCTCCTTTAAGCTAAAGGATACTTTAGCATTCCACTTTTTTGGAAACATAATTCTGTATATTCTTTCTCTTCTACTGTTCCTTTTAAAAAACTATTTCGTATTCAAAATGATTTTTTAGCAGGACATCGTTCTTTCCCAGAAACACAAAGAATTGTAAGAATATCCATGCTATTTCATTACTTAGGATGGCTGTCTGAGTTAATCCTCCATTTGCCTTACAACTTTAATTAAACAAATCAGTCTCAATCTTCTTTTTCTTTTTCCTTTGTCAGTTTGACAAACTCTTGATTATAAAGTAATTGAGCAATATGTTCTCAAAAATCTTGGAGAAATGACACTTAGAAGTTTGGAAATAAAGTTACATTTTTCATGTTCCCTTGTCTGCATCTGTGTGTGTTTCTCCAGTATTTAATATCTGACGTAAACTTGCTGGATTTTCAATCTTCACTATATGCTAAAGAATGCAGTACAAAAGGGAGCCTACTTCTATAGAAAGCACGCCAAGGACATTGTGTTCCATCTTTACAATGAAATGCAGATTTCCCATTAAAAGGCAAATCCATCATTTCAAAAGGTTGAATAGATGGTGCATTTTAAAAAATCCAGCTGCTTAAATTTAGGGCATTGAAAAACATCCAAAAAAAAAATGTTCCCTGTTCTCAAGCATTTTCATTTGATTGTATATTGGATAACTCTTCATTCAGTCTCAGATCAAGCTTCTTAGAATCCCATCCTAAAATGTCTGACAAGTGTTTCAGAGAAGTTTGACTCAACTTACTTACATTTAGTATTTTACTATTTAAGATATCCTTGGGTTTGCTAAAATATGATAAATTTTTGTACAAGAAATCTCAGGATCTTCTCACAGTGCCTTCTTCTCATGTTTATTTGTAGGGTTCTCCCACTCCCATTAAATTTCTTTGAGGATATTAGCTATTAGGATAGCCACTTTATTCTCCAAGAACTTCCTTCAGCTTCTTTAGTCATTTATCTCTCTCCACTCTATTCTACTGTGCTGGGCCCAAATATTCCATGATTAATTTAGGAGTAAAGCATGGCAAACTCACAACAGGAGAAAGAAAAATACTGACTGGTGTCATGTATATGTGGAATATAGAGAAATCAAACAAAGGGTCAGTCAAAACCAAACATTAAAGCTAACCCTTGAAAGCTGAGGCATCAAGTGAGGCTGAGGAAGATCATTGTGGAGGGAGAAGAACAATGGACTGTGGGTGCTTTGGTAGTCGGAGAGCTGGGGCGACTACCCTTGGGGGTGGGGGGAATCCTGTACTATCAAAATACCACAAGAGTGTAAAATGGGATAAAACTAAAATAAATAAAACTGTCTCCTCACCAAAAATAAATAAGTAAAAATAAAAGGAGTAGCAAAGACAGTGATTCTCCCTGCAAGAGCTTAGCAATCTATGGTGTCGACAGGTAACACGGCCCCACAGACAGCTGAAAAGTTGTGCTCCATGGGGTAAACCCAGTCACAAATTCTTATTAATGCTGTAAGTGGCAGGAACAAAAGGCTTATGTATAACGTACCTCGCTGGTATATATTTAGGCATTAGTAGCTGCTTATTAAAAGTTGCCGCAAAGTCTCCAAGTTCCCCTCCTCTGGAAGCTAATACTGCTTTTTCTCAGCATTAACATTGGAGATAGTGTCCGAGACCATTCAGTGAATGACTGTTTAGCAAGGACTCTACTGGTCATAGAAGCTAAGTCTCTTAAACTGAGTGTTTGACTCTTTTCTGTTATGCTGACTGTCAACATTGATACATATGATACTGCTCCTGCTCATTCCCTAAAGGTAAATGTTCCTAATAATTCTTTGGCATCTGGCATGTTCTATTAATACCAGTTTGATCCCATTTGTAGACCTTCCCTCTCCAATGTCCATTTTCTTCCTAAAGAATGGTTCACTTTAAAAGAAAATGTATTCTAGTAAAGATCACTTCTCATGGATTCTTTTTTTTTCTTTTCTAAACTGTTTTAGGGAATTGTCTTTTTTCCTGGGTCCTCCATTTTAGTCTACACCCTAGTGAAGGAAGTATTTTCTGTGTTGTATCATAGTTTATAGGGGGTATTTCATACTGGGGTCCTTGTGCTTCCAGTCCCCTGCCAGCACTGGCTATCAAAACTGCTTAGGCTGCAAATAAAATATGAAATGAAATCCATCTGGCATTTCTCATTGAATTAGGACCAGAACATTTTTGTTAAATATTAACAGATGGTTAAATTCTTAATATCAAACTAACATTTTAAAACATCTAAGGGGACCCACATGAGGAAGAAAGGCTAGAGGACCATGTGTTTTCTCCATCGCTGAACCCTTCCTTCCTGTACACTTTCCCTCCCCTCACCCTCTCAGCCACGTGTTGAGGATTGCTGGAGGCTCCTTTGTCAGATAACTTGGTGGCTCATATCAAAATAGTGTGTGATAGCATCAAAATATTATAATCAGATGTCAGCCAACTCAGGTGATGTGTTTCCTTTGGCATGCTTCAAGATTTTTTTTTATTAAAGCCAATTGTCTATCTCTCTCTAGGAAAAAGAAAAGAAGTATATGCTCCCTTTGGATAACCTGAAAGTTCGGGATGTGGAAAAGAGCTTTATGTCTAGCAAGCACATCTTTGCACTCTTTAACACAGAACAAAGGTAAGAAAATTATGCAGCATCTGTCTTCAGATTGTCTTTCCCTTGAATTTCTTTTGCTTGATTCAGATATTATATTTGATAACCCCCTTGAAATCTGTTAACTCCTGTTTTCCTTTATTGTGTATTTTTAGCTTCCACCAAGGGTTATGGATTCAAAAGATAAAGATTTAGAATAAGAAAAATCAACATTAGGGTTTTCCCTGCTTTTCAGCAATCCTCAAGATAATGCTGTTTCCATTCTTAAACATTTTGCTGCTATGAAGTTTTTCTTCTCCTGCATAGTTAATACTGACAAATTAGATATAATAATTTCATATAACAATTTTAATAGTGTTTAACATGACTGTATATAATTTAAATATATATCATACTAAATTCATACATCAGTGAATAGAATTTTTTCATACATCAGTGAATAGAGTTATTCAGCTAATGTGAATATAAATATAAATATATATTACTTTACAGTTCTTCACAGCATTGTCTACTTTCATTATCTGGTTTTGGTAACAATTTCCCATGATGTGAAAAGAACAGAGTGGTTATAAATTAGAGACTGTAGCTTAGAGTTGTTAACTGTTGGAATATCACAGAACTGGTACATGAAAGAGTATAAATCTGAATTCAGAATTCTGCATCTAAATGTATTTTCCCTCCCATTTGTAGTAGTTTTGCTTTATCCTTTTGCTTGTCTGTTTTCCAACAACAAAATTTTAGTTGGAGCTGATTATTGTGAAGGACAATGAGTGTTCAATGAAACTAAGCAGGAAAGTTAAACAAATGGACAAGTAACAGGATGGGATGTACAACTAGGAAAGGATAGTGAAAGGTTTGGAAAACCAAATAGAAATGTTCTAGGAAAAGCTAATTAATTGCTTTGATTCAGTTTTGCAAAGATGGAATCACTAGCTGCTGGGATCTAATTTGAACCTATCTCTCCAGTTCACTTTTCTTTATTTAGCAATGAATGAAGTTCCCTTATCATGTTCAGTGACTGGCCCAGGGTCAGTCACACAATGAATCAAAATAGCAAAAGAAGCCTTTCTCCTATTTTCCCATTCAGTTGCTCAGAGTGACTCATTATACAAAATACTTAATAAAACCACAAGAGCAAGGCATGTAGAGTCAAAAAGAAAGAAAATGAAATACAACTCCTTACCAAATGGTGAAATGGGACTTAAAAGAAAAAAGGATGTAGTATTTTTGAGAGTAACTTGTAGAGAAAAATACTGAAAATGACAAGGAAAATAAGGTTTCCTGGAGAGAGTGATTTTGTGTTCTGGTAATGGGGTCAGGCTGAATACTGTTAATACCTTCTTCTGAGCAGGGTAGAAGTGGGCAGATCCTAAAGGAACCTTAGGAACATGCACAGCCCCCTTGCCCGAATGCAGAGTGACAGATGTGAATACCACCCCCTTTTGATCCTTTTTGTGACTAGTTACTCTTTTTCAGCTGGATATTGATAGCTGTATCTTATTACTTTAAATGTTCTACTGTTCGTCTGTAGCCTGACTTTAGTTCTGCTTGGAGAAATCAGTTGTCCATCTAATTACTACTACTTTTTGTAGCTAATCTGTATTTCCTCACCTGTTAAGTATAAGATCCCTTTTGTCTTTCAAGTTTCAATGTGATGTGTTTACGTATATGATTTGCTTCCTATTTCTTGCTTGGGATTCACTGTGTTTCCAAAACCAAGGGTTTGTGATTTTTATAAATCCTGCAAAATTACACCCTTATCAATATGATTTTTGTCACTTTTCATTTCTTTCTAGTTTTTCCTTCTGGAATTCCTATTAGGCATTTACTAGACCATTTACCCTATTCTTCATATGCATAGCCCTCTACTTTGTATTTCTTTCTGCCTCATTTTGGATTATTTCTTCAATTCTGTCTTCTAATTCACTAATGCCCTTTTTATCTGTGACCAAGCCAAAATGACAGTCTGTATCTTTCTTTTCTAGTGAACATATTTGTTCCTCCATTCCATCTTATTTTTTGGTGTTTAGACAATCCTGGTTCTCACATAAATACCAAAGTCTCATTTCTTACTTTTTGTGGCCAAAAATCCTAGTCTTATGGTTACTAAAACTGATACCAGTGGCAAAAGTTACAAAAGGTGTACTTCATTTTGTCTATTTTGGGTAAGGGGGCTCTTAATGATTCCTCCATTTCAAAGAGAATTTAGGAATTTAAAGTAATATTTTTTAAACAATTCTAGATGTCTTGTAGGAAAGAATTTTAAAGTTTCCATTCTGACATTTTGGTTGAAATTAAGTGATCTTTTATTACCACTAGATTGTAAAGACACAGAACTATGTTCCTGACTTCCTCCCAGAAGTGAGAATTATGGTAAAGTGAACCAGAGAAACCACCTTGAGATTCTCTGTTTACAGATACGAATATCTTACAAATGATTAAGAATGAAAAAGCCCTAAGTTCCCCTGGTTTTTCATTTAGTTTTTCAATAAGCCATTTAGTTTTTCAATAAGCAAATGTTTATTCAGTTATTTGAATTCTAAAATATTTGTTGTGCATTTCTGAATTATGACTCCTGCATATCCACATTGCTCTCTACATGATATGCTAGGTTGCTAGATGTGACCTTGTTTTGTATGGCATATAACCACCAGTGAGTGTCAGGCAACATTCATTTTCTACTAACTTTAACACAGAAAATTTAAAAAATCAATAAAGAGATAAATAAGGAAACAAGGTAGTCTGACTGAACAGATACCACACAGGAGACAAATAGATTTTAGTGTGTAAGATAAATATTTAACCAGCTTCTATGATAGTTACTACATAGGGTTTAACTTCAAGGAATAGTAGACATCATAGAAGGTGACTGGCATAATAAAAGGTGACTGGCAAGGATATTGTCAGGAATTGATGGAAAGAAAAGGGAAAGTAATATAGCAAACAGAAATTGTATTGAGCAACTCAAATGAGTAGGAAGTGTTGTTTACTCTGTTGTCTTTCTCTTCTGGAAGGTAGGATGGGCCCTAATTAAAAAAAAAAAAGGCTTTTTGTTTCCAGAGGTTTTATTGAATTGGACTTCCCAGTGAATTTGTATATTTTAATACTGCATGTAGGAAGAAAACTCCCAAAGACCATATGCTTAGCATAATTCTATCAATGCACTTAAATGTCTTTTCACCATTGAAAATGATTTTGAAGTTATGTTTCTAGTTTTTCTCTGAGATATGACCTTACAAGAAATTAAGTGTTCTTTCATTTCTATGGGTTTATCTTTGGTTAATTTAGAAGAGATTTTCTAAATGTTTCTATTGGTTTGTATTTTGCATCCCTGTTTTCAACTGTAATATTTTGAATCGATTTATTGATTTATTCAGCAGACCTATGTGAGATATATTAGCTTGGGACTAAGAACTCTTGTATGAAGACTGGGGTGGCACTCATACATGTCCTCTTCACCTCACAGTTTAAGGAGTGGACATCTGAATACTAAAATGCCTTCCCCATGTCACAGACACGTTAATGGTCCACCTGGAGCTGGAATCCAGGTCTGAGGACTCCTAATCCAGGCTGCTTCCTGGTGGGATAGTTGGGATATTAACTATGGAATGAGAATTCCATTTATCATTTTAATTGAAAATGTTCCTAAAAGAACAACAACGGAGAGATTTTTAACTTCCTTATAAGTATTTTAGTTTACTGGTAAGTCTTAATGAATTTTTGTGGCACTCTTAACCTCATTGGCAAAGCCGGATATGGTACTGACCTCTGTACCCTGTTGTTGAAAAACCATATTAATCGTTGCTACTTGTATCGAGCATTATTCCTAAGAGCTCATTTGGTTGCTATATTTCAACTTTCCACTATAAAATTTAAAGCAGTTGCTCTGTGGTCCCCAATCATCAGGTGTGTGGGAACTGATACATTTAACATCCTTCTTTAAAAGGCCTTCAGTGTCCTGGTGAGTTAATATGATCTTTATGAGTCTAGTGGCCAGAGTTTTGAGCCATTCTAAACAGTGTTTTAGTGCTAAGACTTTTATAAATGGAAGGAATTGTTACTAGTTGCAGTGACTTCAGCACTTGAGGAGGGTGAATTTCACACCTAGCCTGATTTGACCTGAAAATCCAACAGGTAAGAATATGCATCCCTGGTCCCTCTCCTGGCTTTTCAAAGTGGGCACCCCACATTTGTGGAGAAACTGATAAATTGACTACTTTACCCTCATATTCATGGCATTGAAAACCATGCTGAAAATCCTGAACTTCTTTGTGGCAGGGTTTTTGTTCCATTTGATTTTCTTAGAAATGCCGTGTTTTCTCTGGTAAGAGCACATCTAGATAATGGCCTCACTGTGCTGGTCTTTGCTCTCCCCAGGCAGGCCTTCACTTTTAAGGTCATGCTAAGGCCCATTTGGTCCAAGGTATGTCAGCTCTGTAGCCAGCGGAGATCTGTGTCTGTCCAGGGGGGGATGTAGAGCAGCCGCATGCTATTTTCTGAGCACCTCTTGGGGTTGTCCTGCTCTGTTTTCTTTTAAAATAAAGCATTCTTTCTTTGACGCTGCTTTGTAGCAGCAATTCAGGATATGGCTTATCAACATTACCAAGTGTTCCAATTCACCTCCTCCCCCCTTTTCCTACAGAAAGTGATTTTTAGGATGTTTCCCTGCTCCACTTAGACCCCAGCACATTGCTGACACTCAATAAATGTCAAATAATACTGCATTATAGCTTGTGTGAGCTCTTTAGGTGTTCTGAAAAGAATGGCTCTTTATTCTCATTGTTGAGTGGTATATTTTTCCACTTGTTAGCTGGAAAGGAATTAGAGTCAGGTTTTCCATTTATATACCTTTATAGCTATGTTTCTATATTAAGACATGCTTAGAGTTTAAGTTGTTTGGAAAAGTGCTTAATTAAACAAATATGCTGGGTAAAAGGTATATGGAATGTCTGTCTAAAAGGTCATGTCTTAGGTGGATGTTGCGGAGTGTCAGATCTTTATTAAAAGATCTATTCCATCAATAG